TTGTTGTGGGTATGTTGTAGCATATGTTAGTGTTTATGTTGCAGGGAAAATGAATCTCTTGACTAGAAAATATCTTCTTCTACTATTCTAGTGATTTGTTATTTTGACCTTTTTTGTAATGATGTTTTGTCAATAGCGAAGCTGAGTGGGCCGGACCAGGTAAAGGCTAGTCATTTGTGTGTGACACACATGGTATATTGTTTCTTCTGGGTTCTTGAGGGGATAATCACATCCAGATATGATTCAGAAGGTCAACCTGAATTGGAGGGAAATGATTTCTCAGAAGTGGGTATGAAATAGGATGTAGTTTGGTTTCCCTTTTTTCTTCTTTCCTACCCCCCCAGTTTAAGTTGGAAAAATACAAGACAGGGATGTTATGGCTTTTTTTCTTAGTTTTCTGTGCATATATGTTACCCCCAGCAAATTTTTTTCAGGACAATTTTATTTTTATCTTTTTCATTGAAGAATCTTCAATGTTTTCAGTGGGAAATATGTTTACACTGCTGATACTTCATTGATATCTGTTTTCTCCAGGGCCAGTAAATAGGATCACACAATATGTTATTAATGGACTAAGGCCAACGTGACATGCTGTGATTTTCCATAATTAGTGAGAAAAAAAAAGCCATAGTGCTAGGAGAAGTTTGAAGTGCTACAAAATTTGGGGTCTATTTTTTCCCCAAAATCCTATGTGAGAAATGGAAAACTTCTCTGAGCTCCATGGTACCTGGATTTGGCATAAAGCTTAAGCCAGCCCTAATGGCTGGCATGCAGCCAAAGAAAGAAGGAAGTTCCTGCACTGGGTTCCTCGTGTGTCCTGAGACTGAAGTGTGTCCTCTGTGGTCCCACGACAGGAGTGAGTGGGCACAGCTTGGAGTAGCTCTCTGACACTGCTCCCATGTCTGGAAAAGACATCTGCATGCTGAAGGAGAGAGTGGGAGAGGTCTGCCTTTTGCCTTGGTTCTCACTGATTTTATTTTACATCATTCCCATGTGCTCTGACCCTTGGTTTGTTTTTGGAAACATCTCTCCTGTATTGACAGAGAAGTCTGATTTCATTATCTGCAGTCCTGTGACTTTGTATGCTGTGTAATTATTGTCTATAAGTTAATAGCTGTGGGTTTTTATGACCTCATGTGATGTCTGAGGCAATGCATTTGAATTCATAATGAACAATGATAAAAGGTGCTTTTGCCTGTGTGACTATTTGCTTCTGCACTTGAAGCACCATGAGCATTGTTGCTTGTGAGTACCGTGCAAACCAGATCAGGAAAAAGTAGGGAAATCTTTTCAGTTCAGATATGAAATTTCCTTGGACTCCAAATCTGTATGGGGAATTTTCTCTTTATTTCCTGCAACCTAGCTTTGACTGCAACAGAGATGCGTACATCTAAAGTTATGCTCTCTGTCTTGGAAAGAATGGGCATATTGTGATGAACATCCAAAATAATTAATACTACAAGGATCAGGAAAGAAATAGTTGAAATATGCTTTTAAGCTTGATGTGACAGTATTTACAGAAACTAATGTTTCCTGAATCTCTACAAGTCATGTGTTTCAGAACTGCTGAACACAGTATGAAAAGACCCTGACACTTAATGATTTATAGCACTACGGTGTTCCTGTACAAGCTGCAGCCCAATATCTACCAAGTACAGAACATGACCTGGGCAACAGGGAACCAAAACCTCATTTAGTTATACAGAAGCCTAAATTGAACAGTGATTGAAAAATCAACAGGATCTTGAAATGAGTCTTGTAGCCAGCTCAGCAGCAAGTGAAAGATTTTGGATGTGAAGAGTGTGTTTTTGACCAGGTTTAGTCTGTGCTGAAGCTGGGACAGCTGGATTATGTCAGCTCCCACTCCAGGGAAGCCTGTGAGAAAAGGCATGTCTATAAACTGGTAACTGTCCCTTTTTCCATTTTTAGCTATTTTTTGTCATTGGATGTATCAGAATAGCAGGAACAGGTTTTTGTTCCTTTCCAGAGGGTTTAAATGTAGCCACCCCTTCAGTGCTTTCTACTGTGATATCAGCAAACACAAATATTGCTTCCAAATGATTTGCCAGAAATGGCAAGAAAACAGAAAATTTAAAGTTCTCTGGCATAAAGCCATACATATGTATTCTCATTAGCTAATATTTGCTGGGTTTTGGTTTTCTTCCTCTTTAAGTGAAAATTTGTTGACCCACTGAAAATAGGATGTCACGTACTTCCCTGACTGACATGTAATGGAAATATTGACATGAACTATGTATTTGATGGGCAAAAAATACATGGTGGAAAGTGTCTGTACAACTGCAACAACTTTTTTATGGGGCATGACTAGCTTTCATTCACGTTGTGAAAGCATGAGAGTAAACAGGAGGCTTGAATATTTTGCTGCAAGGGTTTTCCTACAGTTTTGCTTTTTCTTACTTAGGTGTTTTCTGGCATGCAGTACAGGGGGATGCTTACCTAGGGAACACTAGGATGTTTTGTGAGTAAAATACTGAGGAAAAAGATCACATCTTCACTGTGGAAACTGCACTGTTCAGTCTCCAGTGTCTTTTAAGTATTTACCAGATGCTGGAAGGGAACAGCTATTAATAATGCACATATTAATATAGCCTGCTCAGCCTGTTCCTCTTGGATATGCGTCAGCACATTCTGGTGTATCCCCCAAACTGGAGCCACACACCTTTAAGCTGTCTTAATCAGGGCTTGAGGGATTGGCTCCTACCTGGATTTCTAGGAATGTTTTCTTGTAACATGGGGTCTTTGCAGGACTGCGTTATAAGCTGAGATCCTTGAAACATGGAGTTTTGTTTTCCTAACATCTGTGGCCAAGTGTTCTCCAGGACTAGATTTGTTAGCTTTCCTACACAAAAAAAATGGAGTCCTGCAGTACAAACCGATGCTTTCTGATCTCTCTCTACTGCCTGAGATTTATCTCATCTCTTACTTTCCCTTTCCCTATCCTTTTATTCAAAACCTTTGGAGGAAAACATTTCTTTATAATTTTGTTCCTCCTAGTCAGGGTCAATGCTGGTGCTGATAGTCCTGACTGAGCAATCTATTCTGAGACAGAGATGTAGACATTACTCAAAATAAAATAAAGGAAAAAATACAGGGCAAGGAGTTATAGCAAATATCCACAATGGTTTCAATGTACCGAAATTCTGTGATCTTAAATAGAATTCACAAGCTGCAGCTTGAATCTTTGATCCATGGCAGAGATACTTATCCTTTGTCTACACCACAGTATCTATGTTTTTTCAGAAAGATATATTTGTTGACAGATTATTCTATGCTTTCTAAGCACATATTGAAGAGGTTTTGGATTGTTCTGAATAACCAGCTACATCAACAAACCAAACTCTTATACAGATCTCTACTTCTGTTGAAATTTATCATGTGCTGGTATGTCTGACCTACTAGGCGTCATTTAATGCAGTTAAAATCTTCCCATATAACATTTATTCTGTGCAAAATCCAACTTTCTAACACAATGCATTTCAATTGTAACACATTGTTCCTACATAGTCTATCAGTAAAACCATTGCACTGGCTGGAAACAGCTTTCTTTAACATCTTTAAACCAGAAAGATCTGAAGTTGACAAAGTGTTTGTGGCATCCCTTGTTTCTTGCTATTTTCTCAATAACTAAGCTCTGGGGAAAAGTCTTCAAATCCCTAAACAAGCTGAAGAAAATAATTCCCTCTGATTTGCACTCCTCGGTGGAATCTCTTCACTGCTAGCTCCATACTTGGCAGTGGATGGGCCGCACAGAGGGCATCAAGAACTGCTGTGTTTGCAGGAAGGGCACTCCCTAGGGAAAAAGCTCTGTGGCTGCACTGGCTGCAGGAGGGATATTTGTCTCCTTGATGAAACTTCATTGGCTTGAGCAAAGGTACATGCATATTTCCAGAAAAGCCTGGAAGAATGTCTGGTCTGGGGGAATAAAAAAAAAAAAAAAAGGAGCCTTCCAGATTTTGGTTTCTTCCCTTTCCCAGGGAAAAAACTGAGGGATCCATAAAAAAAAAAAAAAAGAAAAAAAAAGCCTTCTAGATTTTGGTTTCTTCCCTTTCCAAGGGAAAAACTGAGGGATCCATACAGTTGATGCTTGACACTTTACCCAGCAGTGTCAGACACTAGCAGCTCTTCACTCTTCAAGAATAAGTGTAACTACTATGATTTAGCACAATGTCGCTAAATGTTCCCATTTTTCCTTTTTATGATCCATCTAAACTTTCATACCAAATTTGCTACCATGAACTCTGAATATAAGTTTGATTGTGGGCCAGATAAGTACAGCACATATAGCCACTTGGAAACTTCTACTACAAAACACTTGCTTAACTCCTTACTGCACTTGTACTAATAGAAAAAATGAATCACAGTAATATTTTGCATCATGGTTGTACCTGGCAACCAAAGATCTTCAAGCATTTATGAAGTAACTAGATTTACTCTATATTTCACCGGGTATCTGTTTTTTTCCAACTTGTATAAGATCACAGTAATTCCTTTTACAGATTTGAGCTTTTTCTCATTGTGATGAGTCCAGCCCAGCACTTCATTAACTTGCTGGGTGGGTCTTATCTAAAGACTTACTGCTGAGCAATTTTTGATCTTTATATCAATCTTAGTCTTTATACTAATCATCTTTACTCAGTGCATGGTAACACCCTGGAACAAGACCCTGGACCCTTTCCCAGAGAAGTTGTGAATGCCTAGAAGTGTTGAGGGCCAGGTTGGATGGGACCCTGAGAAACCTGATCTGGTTCTCCACCCTGTCCATGGTGAAGTTGAAACTAGATGACCTTTAACAGCCCTTCCAATTTACCCATACTATGATTCTGTGAATATGTGCCTAAAATTTGCCTGAAGATTTAGGATACATCATGAAAAGGAAATGCAGTAAATGTGGATATTTTGGAGGTATTTACATAACAATAGTTACAAAACCCATGTTAAAAAACTTGAGGTGCAATCATGGTACTCCTTTGTTTTTTCTTATTTCTTTTAATGCCACACAGCACCTTTGTGACAGAGAGCTGGAAATGTCTTCAAACTCTTGTCATTACATGATAGTTCCTCATCTGGTAGAGCTGAACAAGAACAGATGCATGTAAAAAATGTAAGGAAAGGAAATGCATGCAAGGAAAGGTTTCCAAATGTTTCTGTGCACATCCAGGGCTCTGCAGGCATTCTCCAGGCAACACTCCTGCTCTACCACTGAGCTGATCCTCCAGCTCTCACTGCTGAAGGATTTCTTTCATGTTACTTCTCCCCTTTTTCATCTATGGAGAGGCACACTCAAAGGACATCATTAAAAACTCTGGAGCACTTGAACATTTCTGCAAAAGAAAAGATGCCAGTTAGTAACAATACCTCACATAAACAGTCATATATGTGTGTGTGCCCTCAACATGTATCAGAAACCTCAGAAAGTCATTCATACAAATGCTTCTCATTTTTCCTAGAGGCAGAGAACATGCTGGCAGTTTAGCTTTTACGAATTGCTTTAAGTTGGAAAGAGTCAATGGACCAAGCTGCACTGTGCTGTGGGTGGGTAAAGCTTCTGTGAAAGAAGCACTCACTCTCTTCATTGATTTTTTTTCTTGCAGCATGAATTTGTTCCACTGTCCCTAGCTCATGAGACTCTTTTTCCAGTCTCTCTCTCTCTTTCCTATTTATGTCTTAATTCACTGCTGTCATGATTTATACTAACAATACAATGTGCAAGACATGAAAATCTATATATCTATCATACCCCTGTCTGAATGCTGGGATATGACATTTCAAAATTATTTTTTCCGTATACATTTATCATACTTTTTTTTTTTTCAAAAGGAGACACTGTGTATTGAAACAGACTGAAGATGGCCCAACACCTCTGCTATCCTGTTTCATGCACTCCATGTGGTTCATGGGGTAGAAACAGGGGCAGTGTTGTGGTCTAACCCCAGCCAGCAGCCAAGCCGTATGCAGCCACTGGCTGCCTCCCCCACCAGTGGGATTAGGGAGAGAATCAGAAGGATAAAAGATACAGAACTAGTGGGTCAAGATGAACACAGTTTAATATGGGAAGCAAAAGCCATGCACAAAAGCAAAGTAAAATAAGGAATTAATTCATTGCTTCCCGTGGGCAGGCAGGTGTTCAGCCACTTACAGGAGAGCAGAGCCCCATCACGTGTAGGAGTGACTTGGGAAGACAAATGCCATCACTCCAAATGTCCCCACCCCTTCCTCCTTCTTTCCCCACTATATATACTGAGTGTGATGCCATATGGTCAGGAATATCCCTTTGGTCAGTTTGGGTCACCTGCCCTGGCTGTGTCTCCTCCCAACCTCCCATGCACCCCCAACTTTCTCATCAGTGTGGCAGAAAAGCAGAGAAGGCCTTGGGTCTGCATAAGCTGTGTTCAGCAATAACAAAAACATCTGTATATCATCAATCCTCTGTTCAGCATGAATCCAAAACCTAGCTCTGTACTAGCCACTGTGGAGAAAATTAACTCTACCCCAGCTGAAAGCAGCAAAAGGAAGCACTGCTCTGTTGCAGTTCTATGCTCCTTTGGCCAATATTGTGGAGGTAAATATTTCATGGTTCTTGTAGAGATTAAGAGAGGTACACGTAGCATGCTATCCATCAGTGGCAATTTGAGGTTTAGTGTCAAAGTAAATTGTTCTTTAGGGAAGAGTAAGGATCTGTGCTGGCTTGTACCTGCAACTCACTGATCTTTATCAGCCTTCTGACAGTCCCACAGGGACAACTAGTTGTAATTAGCTCATTTAATATTGATTAGGTCTTTGGACAATTAATCAGAATTAATCAGGGTTCAGTGGTGTTTTAAAGTTCTGAAAATATGTACGTAAGAGCTTGGGATTCCTGAGTGTGCAGAAGGAAGCATGACATGGACACTGTCCCAGGAACTGCATGGAGTTTCATCTCTTTTGGAGATTTGAAAACATGTAGAAACTTTTCAAAGAAATCTTTTGCTTCCTCTCCCTCATCATCACATCTCTATACAGTGTGACTCTGGGAGAGGTTGAGCATAAATAACAAAACACACTGAGACAAGCAGTTCTTAAAAATTACTTTGCCCAGTCTTAGATCTTCCTTCTCTGGTCACACCTGCTAGCAAAGTCCTGCCTCCCAAAAGCTGTAAGGCACTAGAGCCTGAAATTAGGTGTTGATCTTATTACTGAAGCCCTTGTGCTTTTTTCCACTCATCCACATATTGGTAGTTACACTTGTTCTTTGTAATTTAATTTTAGACATAAGATAATCTTGTTGGACTAAAAGGTTGTGTCTCTTTGTGTGTGTGTTTGGTTTTTAAATTTTTTTTTAATAAAGCATGAACTGTAGTCTCTAGATGTTAGGTAAGAAAATTGTAGTACAAGGACCAGATTTAAATTTGTTGTAAATCCTTTAATATTTATAATATTTGTTAAAAATGGTGAAAATTTTTGAATGGAAAAGCAAGCCTTTAATACAAGCAAGCTGGAATCTAGTTAGAAATAATTTTCACTTTTTTTTGCTTTTAATTGTTTTCTATGTGGATCTCCTGAACATAGCAGATATCTATATTTTGTTTCCTTAGATATCTGTGTGTTTTAGAAATGAATTTTTTTCAAGTGTAAATTGGTTTTTGAATTAGGAAAATAAGTCAACCCTTATATTTTAGATTGTCTCTTGCAAGACTGCAATGTATGTTTTTCATTAAAGAAATCACCTCCTATTCTCCCCATTCCCAACTATTTTTTGCCTAAATCACACTTGGATTGGAAATATTATGAAGAAATAATTTGTGACTTTACAGGCAGTGTGATAGATAATTCAGAAAAAAAAAGTCAGACAACTGATTAATGCTCTAAAAATAAGATATAGCTAAACGCTGATTATCTCCTGGATTTGCATTAATTCTGTTTATATTAGATCTAAGCTTAGTACTAATTATATTAGCAGTAGTAAGTCTAAAATTTAAATATATAGTAATGTGGAGCAAGTCAATGACTTATTGGAACAAGAGTAATTAGGTGAGTAATTAATTGGACCATGCTTGAGGGTTTTTTTTTTTCCAGTCAAGGTATTTAAACTAAATATGCTGTTCTTTATCCCATCACAACAAATTGTTCACCAAATGTATATGCCACATTCTGCACAGACATATGGCTTCTACCTCATGCCATTAATAAAGTGGTTAATATCCGCAATTAATTAAATACTTTTGGTACACTATTCCCTCTAATCCAATGAGCAGAACTGGATATAATTTGAAGAATCAGTGGTTTCTCCTCTCTGTTTGAATTTTTCTCTGAAGTAGGTAGAGATATCTGGGTTAAGAGGCTGAAGTTTTGTTGAACTTCCTCCATTTTTCTGTTAAAGTACTCTGACATGTAATTAAGAGTGAGGTATTTATGCATTTTAAGGATTTTAAAATTATTGCCAAAGACATGTTATTTGAGATTCATTTAGCCATAGGTCTTATTGTCTGAAAGATTTAAGAGTAACTTTTTAAATTAGAGTCCTAACAATATATTCAGATTAGATTTAATATGACAATTATTTGTTCTGCTAACAAAGGTCCCATGGCCTATGAAAACCATTAATTGAGGATTAGCACAGATGTAGTAAATTTAGAAATCTTCGATGAAAACATTGCAAAACATCATTTGTCATTTGTGATTACTGCAAATATACTAACATCATTAATGTGACCATCTACTTACAAATCCAGCAGATTTTGTTCGATTCAGAGCAGTATGCTTCTGGAGCTATGGCCAGCCAAATCCACTGAGGTTTTTTTATACAGTGTTTAAATTATAGCCATTTCAGAACTGTTTGTAGGTGCTTTTACTGCAGGCATACTGTCACTTTCCTGGTCTGTGAATGGAATAGGCAACTGTGCACTGACTTGGAGATCAGGTACATCAAGTGATACCTCCCTGCAAAATAAAGGTGTCTCAAAAGAGACATTTCAGTCTCTTCTGGGAACCTCCAGTGAGAAGGTGTTTGTATATTTGCACATGCATAGTGACTGTATTGCTCAGCTGAAGTGGTCCTATGCAGAAGGTTGCTACAACTTCCTTGCTCAGCCTGGGGAGTCCCACTTCCCTGCCGCAGTGACATCCTCTGCACTCTGCAGGGAACACAATTAAACCTTGGGGGAGCTATCTGTGGTGTGTAGTTCATAATTTTCTATTGCCTGTGCTAATTGACAAGGCCAAGTGGATCTGTTGGTGGGGTCCCATTTTGGACTGTGCTGAACTGATCCCCTGTGCTCCTGTTCTCATTTCTTTGGACAATGTGATTTATGATGCAACTTGCTCAGGAGAGGCTGAGAAATTTGGTTTCTGAGGCTAATCAGTGAAGGATGCCTTGGCTTGAAAACTGCTGGAAGGAAAAAAAAAGAAAAAGAAGGAAAGAGGACTACATCTCTTCCAAAAGATCTTTTCATGGAAGAATGAGAAATGGAAGGGATGGGCCCAGTGATTTTCTTCTCTGTGTGTATGTGCAATTGTTTCAGTTGATTGGCTTTTTCAAGAGATGACAGTCAGTATGAAGAAGGATCTGCTTTGCCAGCATCATAGTGTTCTGCTTCTCTTTTAGTATTTTAGAGAGGTAAGAGAAGAGACTTCATGGTTATTCTGCTCTGTGTAAACAGCCAAATTTGTCCTCTGCTTTCTGCCTCAAATGAAGAGAAGCCCTCTTTGTCTCTGCTGGCCAATTAATGCCTCAGTGACACCCTGTCCTATTATTCTCCTACTATTCCTGCCAATTTCAGGCTCACCAATTTTTTTCTGATGACAGGAGAATTCCCTAGTGTGCTGTAAGGAACTGGACAGGCAGTACACATGGTCTTGCCTTGAGGGCTGTAATGCAGCCTTGTAGTAGGATCTAGTAAGGATGTATTATTATAAGTCCTTAGCATGTTTATTTTTCATTCACTTTTCATTCACATTCCTTCCAATCTTTTGATATTTAGCCTTGGGGCAGATGTATCCAAGGATGCAACTTTACATTGAATTAATGGGTATCTCTTTGCTGGTTAAGAAGTTAACAAAAAAGGAGTAGGTGTCACTATTTTGCTTATGGTGGGAATTTGACGACGCACTGAACCAAGCAGAACACACTTCCAGAATCTTAACTAGTTTGATTGCACCATCGACACTGTTATTTCGACAGTCCCACTCTCCGGCATCTGGCATAATTGGAAGCAGCAGCCAGCAGGTATCAGATGTCAGTATGAATTGTCTCCTGCTGCGTGAGCACTGACTATGAAATTGATTTGCTGTCTTTTTTACACAGTTTTGTAATGAAAGTAATGTAAAGTCCCAAACAGACAAATTCTGCATTTGTATACATACAGTTAAAATAGGCATATGTCTGAAAATTAGATGGGGGGAAATATATCAACAGAAAAGCAGTATGGCACCATCAGGCAGTGTTTCATCACAGGTGGTTTTGGTGGCATTCCCTGCTATGTTTCTGAGCTAAATCAATAGCTGGAAACCAGTTTATTTTGGGTACGTGTATGGATGAAAAGCATAAACCATGAGAAAGAAGAACCTGTCACTGAGTGAATTTTATCTCTCTACTTTACTCACTGGTGTTAATAAGGCAAGCGAAAAAGACTTTGGAAACCAAGTTTTCAACCTGGAGCAAATTTTTCTCTTATTTGTCATCAGGAAGATCAAGGCCCCTAAGGTGAAAAAAATTGGCCTGAGAAAAGTCATTGGTAAATTTCCGTGGATTTACTATTGCCAGGATGTTGCCTTAGGGCACATCAGAAATAAATGTCTATCAGTGGTTAAAGATGCTGTTGTGCAGAGCAATTTCACATGTATAAAGGTAATGTTTCAGTGGCTGGAATCTTGACTACCAATTTGAAGAACAATAAGGGAGGATTAGACCAGCTATAAAAGAGGTGCTATCGCCCCAAGCCTTGAGAAAAGCCTTTGAGCAATCCTTATGGATTGCTGACATCTAGATGATGGCAGTAGGAGCACAGGATGCTGGGCTTCACTGGCAAGAACTGGTGCCTTTTCATAGGCAGTTACAAGTAGCTATGAAACAACCTTGTTTATTGGTCTCTTCCTCAGCTTGATGCAATACTTGGCTTTGAAACCAGAAGGCTTAATCAGCTCCTACTGTAATCAAATTATTCAAGATTTTTCAAAGAGAGAATTGCAGCAAATTCCTGTCCTAAGAAGTCAGGGTCAAAAGCCTATTTAGAAAAATCAGCTTGAGCGTTGATTACTGAGTGCGGCTGCCTTTTAGACAAGCACAATGGGGAAAAACACTCCCAACATCTGGTTCAATGAGGCCCAAGACCAGTGTTTAAATGTGTTTTTTCTGTGACACCCAGTTGCATAGCAATAAGGGGGAGCATATGATACAATAATCTATATATAGGATAGGTGGAGCTGAACCTTTGACTTGAGGCCAGCTAGTCTGGTATTCCAATCTTGGTGCTGACATGAAGGCAGCCAGTAACCTTAGGCGGTTTGCTTGAAGTTCTTCCTGAATTTCAGACCCTCTGTTGATGAAAGGACTGGTCTGTAACTGTCTCGGGATTGACAGTTGTCATAACATCATCCAGCAGGCAATTTCATACACAACCAGGGCCTGGGTGCCCAGAAAAACTTTCATTCAGGACAGGCACAAAATAATTTACAGGCTGCTCGGCTCAGAGAACAGATTTCCCACAAAAGTGAAAATATACTGCAGGCTTCCTCCCTGCAGAGGGAAACTTCCATGGTTTGAGTCTGACCAGAGGAAAAGATGCAGGGCAGCCACTTGAGCAGCTGATTCTCATCATTTTCCCCCACAAGGCACAAGCAATGGTGCTATGGCTCATCATGATGCCTGGACTGCTTCCATTCCCCAGCCACCTCCTGCCCTAGGTAGCACCTTGTTTTCTCTGAGGCTAGGAAATAGAAGCTGATTCCAACAGCAAGACAATCGAATGACAGACTCAGGTCCTTTTCCACACAACCAGAATTTCTGTAAGATTTTAAACCTATGCTTTGACCACAAAGATGTGTTGCAATTCCACCTGCAAGAGGGTGTTTTTATATGGATGATCTCTACAGCTCACTCCTCAAAGGGATGTGATAGACAGAAATCCTCCCACCTCTGTGTTGGAGCACTGCATAGGCTTGCTCAAAAGGATGTTGGTGGCTCAGCCAGCCAAGTTTGCTGTTATATTTTTCACATTATTTTCTTGGGAAGATTTCCTAAGTTGTGCAGGTCTTCAACAGTAAGGAGGAGGAAGAAGACTCTATTCTTCTTACTGTAACAGAGAAAAATTGCATGTTGTACTAGAGAAAAACTTGTGTGTCATACTAGAGAAGCTGTTGCCTCATTAATCTGTCATTGAAATTAGAAGAACAGGGACCCAAAACCATTTCCGTTTCTTAGCTAAGGAAGAAAAATCCCGTAGTTTATTTAAAGAGTGCTGTTACCAGAATCCACAAAAATTTTCATGGTGGTCCATTCATTATTTTTCATGGTGGTGCATTCATTGGTAAAGAAAAGAATTCCTGCAAGAAAAATATAAACCTGGATAAATTGAACTGCAGTCTTACAGCAATACATTTTATAATGCATTTAACATACTCTTCCAAACTACGTTCTTCCAGTCTGTTTCCTTCCCTTCATTGTTGTGCTGTGAAGGCAAATGAGTGGTAATGCTGAACATCATGGTTTCTGAGATCCTGCTCCCATTGCTCTGCACAGCACATGGCTGTCATTTTACAGTGGCTTTTCCTGCTTTCCAGTGTTCTCAGACCTTCATGAGGATTCAATAACCTGTGTTTTTCAACAATGGTTGAGTAGCTAAATCCAGTATGGTAAGTGAAGTCACTTCTAGTAGTTTCATTTCCTCACATCTTTCAGGTGACTGTTCAGCTTTAGCTTTTTTCTTCAGTTTCTTTCTCTTAAAAGGAATAGGGTAGTTCAGATCTTCTCCTGGATTCTCTTTAAGAGAAATTTCAGGGGGATTAGTGTAAGCAGCATGGTTAAAATCCTGGCTGCTGCTTGCTGGAAGTGTAGTCTTCAGCTATTGTTTTAGTAGCAGTAAAACTTTTGGAACTGCGTGAATTTTTTGGAATGCTTTAGTGTTTCTTTTATAGCAAGTGTTACAGTATGCACATGTGATGTCAAATTCCTCTTAAGAGGACTTGATTTTTAGAGACATGAATATGACACAGAGGGACATGAGAACCGGCTGTTGACTCAGTCTCTCAGTGCCCTTTTGTTTGTGTCTGTGACCTGGTCACATAGTACAAAGAGTTTCCTGCTGAACTACATGCAGCTGCCTGACTGAAAAGCATGTGAGAGCTTTATTTGTCCTGCCTGCAGCCCCAGATCTTCTTGGAACAGGCTCTCAGATCTTTCTAATGTGATATCACTGTGCAGCCTTCCAAAGGATCCTGTCCTATCTCTCTGGAATACACCATCAAGGATCTGCAGGGCATTAAAGCCTGCTATAGCCTGACACCTATTTTTGTCAAGGAGAGCAAATGTAAGTGGGGAACATAAACTGAGGCTTGACTGGTTCATATATTTTTGTATAAAATTATTTTAGCAGATTTACACACTCCCATACTCCCCCTGCTGCCCCTTGGAATCCCTTATGCTGTTACGAAAACTACTCAGGCCTGCTTTTCCATTTTCACATTTTTTGATGATAGAAAAGATCAATATAGATTTGCATTGATCCATCTGTTTCTTGAGACGCCTGCACTACATTGCACCCCGCCTGCAGCATGGCAGGCATGCAGCCTGAGAGCAGGAGGAGTCAGAAATGTTTGGGTCACACAATGGCCTGCATGTTCTGGGGCACTGGCAGGCTGGTCGACAGCTTTAACTACAAGCAAAGTGCACCTTGCTCTGGCACAAGCTCGGGTGCCCCAAGGCCAGCGGTGTATTTCTTGGATGGCATGGATGTTTGATTGCGTATCCTGAGGGTATCTCTGTACCTCTGGGTGTCTGACCATGCTTCCTGGGGCCCAGGGCGCCCTGAGAGCTGAGCAGAGTCACACTCCTTGGTACAGAGTATCACTGCATGTCCTGGAATAGGAGGAGGCTACAGATATAGACAGAAGAAAACATAAACACCCCACCAAAGCATAAAACCAATCTGCATGCTTCTCAGCAGCCTTAACTAAAAGAATACACTTTTCCAGCACATCCCATTGTTTTGCATTATCTCTTTTCTTCAGTGGGAGCCTGGTTTTGCATCTCACATTCTCCTGGAGTCATCCATACCTCCCTTTACCATCTCCTGATGCATGGAGCAACACTCTTCCACCTCTCACATCTTTGGGTTACTTACATCCCCATTTCAACATCAGCTAGTGATCACATGAGAATGCAATATTAGGAAATGATTTGGTATATTTTTAGCAGGGCTCAGGCTGAAATAGCAACAAGAATGGAGGAGTGCCAGTCACACATGACCAACCAGCTGTCCATGGCCCACATTTTGGAAATCACTGATTCAAGTAGTTGGCAATAGGTTACGGAAAGTTTCTCTTTTAGATTGCTAGTTCAAGTTGACCCTAGACTATACAAGTCAGGAAGGTCATCTTGGATGTACACAACTTTATGATGTGTGAGCAGTCTTCATCCAGTTTCTTTGCCTTTTAATGCAAGAGAACTATTTCAGTTGGAGGTGAAATTTTTGACTCTTAGCTACAGGGGCTGCTGAAACATGGGTATGGCTGGAATGGAGAGGCTGTGTGGCTGCAATGTGCTTCTTTCCTACTCTTTGGCACTTGGTCACACTGTGATGAGTGCTGAGCTTCTCTCTGTTGTGTAGAGAGAGGGGGGACTCTCTAGCAGGTCCAGCTCCATAAATTATGATGTGACAGCCATGTAACAAAAACCTCCACATTATAAATGTGAATCTTCTTTCTTTTCCAACCTCTGTCATGCATATCTATTGGCTAGCACTTTTAGTTTACCTCCTTTCTTGTCTTCTTAATCCATGATATTTTAGGAGCCAATAACTTCTTGTCAGCTGGTACCTATTGCTATATATGCATCAAAGGCAGCTGCCTGCTAGAGTTCTGCATGCTTCTGGGGTTATTTAACTACACATATGAGTAGATCTTGCATTCCCTGTATGTCACCCATCTGTGAAATTCCCTGCACCAATTTCAACCAGGCTTGCTTTATCACATTCCCTCCCTGCCAGCCTAGCAACCTGCTCTAGTCTGTTTCCTGTCCCAATGGAGAAGAGGGGACTATGTCTTTAATGTAAGTTGCCTGACTTATGGTTTTCAGCTTCATTTCTCTTGTTGACCTTCAGACCATTACTGAGCATAGCAGAAAGTGAGATTGGGACCCTGCCAGGCCCCAGCATGTGCACAGGGTTGAGTGAAGAATGGCTTCTATGTGCTAACCACCCCAAAATCCTGAGAATGATAATCAGCCAGGTCTGTTTAGGAGAACAAGATCCTATTCCCCACATGATACAGGGAAGCAACCAGAGAATCCTAGTGGGTACTCTGCTAGGGCTGCTCCAACCCACTGGGAGATTTGGTCTTCCTTGTAGAAGTAAAGCCTTTGCCAAACTCCCTGATCTGCATTGTCTGCAGGAGGTAACAGGCACCATGCACCAGCTGTGATGGGTGTAGTGGAACTGAGTGCTATGTGTTTTGATTGGACCCACTTTGACTCCAGAGAAAAGCCCCCCAAAACAATCTTTCAACCTCCAGCAAGGCTATTTGTTTTAGTTTTTTAGGAATGCATTTTGTAAATCACTCAGGTGTTGGCAAGTTTATGTATTTGTATGGCAAATTTATGTTGTGCTATTAGTATCAAGGAAATCCAATGGAGTGTGTAGATTTTAGACTCCTGACCTCTAAGCAGAATGCTTTTTTTTTAAGGGGTGTGAAATTACCTGTTCATCTCCATGAGCTGTAAGCTCTGTTGAATGAAAATGTCCTCTGTAGAGACACAGGAGATGTGAGGGGTGGGAACTACCATTCATCTGAGTCAGTGATGCCTCCCTTCCCAACCCCTTGTCAGCGTCTCAGACGCTGTGCTAAGCACTGACCCAGTACATTTCCAGTCTTGCACTTGGTGTTTTTCAAAAGGTACCAGGAAGGTGGAAAGGGCTGGGTCCCATAAGGAATGGCAGTCACCATCATCTGGAGATGGGTCTCAGGGCAAGGGTTGCCCAGATCTCACTGAAGACAAAGAGCAGGCAGGGAGGACAAGGATGAGTTTATTTACTTGCCTTGGACCTTGGGAGCATGTCTGTGTTACTCCAAGTCTTGTCCCTTTTCTCTCTCTCAACCATCCCATTACCCCTTTCCCAGACTTCCTCTGCCTTCCTACACAGATCCAAACTTCTCCCCCATCCCTGCCATACGTGCTATTTATTTAGCTTCAGAGCAATCTGAGCTTTCTGCTCTGTTGGTTTGATGTCTATCAAACTGCAAGCTCCTTTGACAGAGGCAGACCATGACAACATGCTTTGCTCCTCTTCCCATTTTTTCCATGCTTTCTGCCGGCGGTCAGGTTTGAACTGACATTGGCTGGTTGTAGGTCAGGTTCAAAAGCATCAAGCACTGTCTGAACATCCCCTCGAGCTATCAGCTCATGTGAAAATGAGTAGTCTAGGAAACCTCTGTGACTGCACAGAATAATCCACTTTATGATTGAGCTCCTAGGGTTGGCAGACTTCTCATTTAATATGGGGTTTCCCATATTTTAGCTTGAAATCCTGCATCCTATGGTAAAGGACAGGCGTAATAACTTCCCTGGTCTCTTTTTTTTTGATATGAATCATGTAGATTTTTAGCCTGAAGTATGGAAAATAGTCGCACCTTACCCTTTTTCTCACAGTTTCCTTGGTTGTCTGAAAGCTGCTACCTTGCCCTGCAAGTAGAAGTGGTTATAAGGTGGCAAGAGGGAATTGTGTGTACATGAAAGATAAATGGAGAACAGCACAGAGAAATGCTGTGGCAGTGCAGTGGGAACATCCCATATTTTTAAAATGCCGATTTTAAGAGTACTGATTCCTATTTTATTTGTCAAAAATTAATGGATGCAACAGAGCATCTTGTGGATGTCTAGAGTGATTAAGACTCAAATGTGGAGGGAGAGACATGAGCTATAGCTACAGTGTGTAGCCACTGAAACTGGCTCCCTGCTCTCCTCAATTTCTTGTACAGTCTTAGGAGCCACTTACATAAATGTTCCCAAATCTGGTGCACACAGCATACACTGCTGTCCACAAAGTTCCTAACCTTTGTGAGCATGAGGATTTTAAAGCCTTTGTTGAACTGAATATTTAAACAAAGAAGAGCTTCTCTGCTGTAATTGTGGGGGAAAGATTGTTCTGCTTGAGTCAGGGCACACATCTTCAGCCTGCTTAATTCAGCATCAGCTTGAATGAGACTCTGCTAATTGACAGATCCTTGATTTTTTTTTTTTTTTAATAGAACTTGTGGAGTAAAGGGAAATGATGGTCAGTGGCTTAGAATTCATAATACCCAGCTCCTGGGTGTTTTCAGTATGCAGCACTCATAAACCATCACTTGATGAATATGGCCTGAAGTGATGCAGGCAACTTATTGTAATTTTTTTGCTGTGCTCTGTTTGGATTTATTTCCTAGTCAGTCAGGTGGGACACCCTGTAGATTAATACTTAGCACATGCATTTTGAATCTGTAGACTAGTACTTAAGCTGAAATAGGAATTCTTTATGTTTCAGAGAAGAAATGGCCTAAATTGCCAGAAATAACCATAATAACAAACTGCTTGTTTCCTGAGTCAGGCACATAGTGCAAACAGCCTTAGTCTCAGTGCACCCTGTTTTTTAATGAAAATAACAGGGATGGGAAAGTGTCCAAGAAGAGTTTGTTCCCTTAGCTTGTCTGATATTCTTTTTAAAACTCTCTGCTACTGTGAAGAAATATAATTACAGAACCATTTAAAAGTGTGGGTCTTCTGAAGAGGAAAGTGAATGGGGTTGTATGTAAACAGGGAGGTATAACCAGCATTTAGGCAAACCCAAAAAGCATGTGGATGCTGAAATTTCTGTTTTCTGGGATGCTTTGGGGTGACTCTGCTAATTTTGTTAAACCTGATGTATAGAATAGGACTTTCCTGCTGACAGTCCCTCCCTTGCTTGTGTGTCTTTTTCAGCCATCCTCCTCTTGTATCCTCCTTCATCCTGTCATTTGCTTCACAAGGAATTTTCAGGGTGCTCTGTTTAGATCAGCAGCTTGGGTGGGTTTGGAGAAGTCTGCCAGCCTTCTGTAGAAGAGCTCACATCAGACACTTTCATTGCATTGCTCTCTTCAAAGTCCCCACCTTACAAGAAAGTTCTCTCCTACTCTGTGCCTTTCCTTTCTTTCCAGGACCTTCTGCTTCCCGTTTCATATTTCACACAGACTGTGAGACTTCCTTCTTTGAACCACCAAAATGTCTATAATGGTCTTAGAAAGGCTTGTGAAGACACTAAAAAAGTGCAGGTATAACTATTCAGCCTTAGCCTCTGCTGGTCAATGTACACCCTAAAATTGTGGCAGCAATGATGGAGATGTGAGCAGTGAAGCCGAGGTGTGATGTTAGATGTGTTTGTCATTGTGAGGTAAGGGCTGTGTGTCAAAGCACCACTCAATTCCAGCAGAAGCAGGGCAGATCTACCTGCATTTCCTAAGCAGCCTAAGACTTTCTCAGTGTGCACTTCGTTATGAGGAGATCTTGACTTCACTTGGTTTCTGCCAGCTTGAGACAGGAGTTTTTACTTGCCCTGTGGCAGACTGTAGCAAACAATAAGCCTGACTCCCCATGAACATGAGTTTGTGCCAGGCAAACACATACCACAGGCTCTCATGACAAAAGTGGTGGCTCATGTTGACTGAGAGCGAGGGAGGGAGGAATGAGCCCTCCTGTCAGCCGTCCTGTCAATTGTCATCGGTCAGCTGCTGCTTATGATGAAACTGGTCTTTGGGAGATTTCATTCTGCATGGCTGGCCAGCTGGTATGTGCTTCTGTCTGGGGTCTGACAGCCCTGGCCCTCATTTGAGGAGGGAAGGCCCTCCTCAAATGTTTTTTCTGTATCAGGCTTCAAATAGTTTGGCATCTGTTGGTTTGTGTTGTCTGCTCGACCATTTGTTGCACTAGCGAGCTTCCTTCTAATCACAGCTCCTAAACAGCCTGTTCCCCTGAATGGTTTCTGCTCTGAAAAGTTAAAGTAGACGTGTGTTGGCTGTAAACACCTGAACCTGCTCTGGTTGGAGAGGTGAGGATATCTGCACACAGGAGATTGAAGCCAGCTACAAGGCTTTGCTTCTAATTAACTGTTTGGTCACACTACAATTTCTTACCACCAGGGCATGTTAGTGATGAAAAGTACAAGTTGTGTAATCCATACTTCCACCGCTTTGCAGACAGCAGAGCTGATGGACAGAAAAGACTGCTAGTGATTAGATCTGCAGCAGTGATTCACAGTCCAGCATTATAGTTTCTGCAATTTGCTTGAGTTTGTACAACCCAAATATCAGATAACATTACAATTTACATTTTCCATGGAATGCTGTCTCAAGAACGTATTGATTTATATTGCATCAGATTACTCCAGGGCTGGAGAAAGCCAAAAGGAGAATTTGACTTTTTTCCTGCTGACATTTAAAAAACAGGATTACATGTCTTCACACCTAGCCCTGTGTAACCTTCAACAACCAGCCTTGGAACGTTGCTTACGAATTACAATTTTTTAAGCTTTCCTCAAACAGTGAAGAACTCTCTTCAAATCCCTTGAAGGCAAGGATTAGTCTTTTCCTGCCACCTTTGCTGCAAGCACTATGCGGAGTGAGGTGGGGGAAAAGATGGAAAATTCACCCTTTGGGTTCAGCATCACCGTCTCTGCCTCAGATGGATCCAGGTTTGCTCATTTGCATCCCTGGGCTCCTGGATGACCAAACCTGACTAGAAAAATTGCCATCTTTAGTGTCAGTGAGCTGCCTGGAGAAGTGGGGATACTGCTTACAGGGGGTTTCTGAGATTTGGGTGTGATCAGTCATGCTTTGCCCTCCCTACTGGTACTATCTGTTGTAGCACTTGGTCTGTCCCACACTGATGGGAAAGTGGTCCTGCCATTGCATAGCCTGCTGCTCCCACCCCCTCAGTGGTACTCAGTGTGGTTAATGCTACAGAAACTAGACTTTCAGTGTTTGATTTTTTTAATGATTTTTATTCAGTATTCATTTGCCCTTACTCTCAAATGAAACAGTTTCCAGGAGAACAAATTAAACTGAACCATTAAAAACCCTAATGTTAAGGCACCTGCTTGAATGTATCCAATTTTCAGAGGAACTGAGCCTCTGTGTTCCCCAAGAAACACAGTTTTGAAACAGTGAAGTCCCTGGGCAGAACCAGTGCTCAGTAACTCCCCAAAATCAGGTCACTCTTGGTTGTATGCCTAGTTTAGTCATCGGATTTTGGCCTTGAATCTAACATGTGTGTGGAGATGAGTGGGGAGGGGGAAGCTGAGATAGATTTTTTTTTTTTAAACTTCTCAGCTGCTTTGCTTAGAAGCCACAGACTGCTCTTTGTAAGCGCGCAGCTGTGGCTAGTCCGTCACACAGTATTTTATTTTAGGAGGAGACAAGCACCGAGTCAACGTCGCTCCTATTGTTACTTGTCTGTCACCCTATGTTAGCAGAATTCAATGCACGCAGTGTTCACCAAGGAGATGTGGCATTAGAGATGCATATGCAGATGAAGGCTCTCCAGATGTGTTGCACTGAAAAGTTCAGGGCCTGGAGCACGCAGCAGTTACTTTTCCTCCCCTTGGAATCTGTATAATTCGATGAGGCACCACAGACTCGATAATCTCAAAAGAAGTAATAGCCTTTGCCACAGCAGGTCACTCTCTGATGCAATGGGAGGAGACATCTTTGCAGCGCTGCGCCAGGAGTTATGCAATCTAAAATGTCAACTTGAAACATGTCCAAGCAGTACTCAAGAAATAGCTGCAGCACTGAACACTCAGGTGCTAGAGATGCTTGGGTACTCAGAGAGTGTGGAAGCTCAGCACAATTACTTTTGTTGTGCCTGAGAAAACAATGTCACTTGAAGAAATTGAGCTATTGAGAGATTCAATTTGCAAGGAAGGAGATGGAAATTACCTAATTGTTTCAATGTACTAGAAGAGGAATCTATTTCTTGGTAGAGAGAACTCTTTTCTTCTTGTAATTGTGTTGTTAAGCCCCAAATCTCTCTTCAAGGAGGGATGCCATGGGTTTGTCTGGGATCAGTGAACTTTCTGCTCACTTCCCAATGTTATTGTGGGGTACATATGCCATCTTTCAAGAAGGATGGTGATGTGTGGGTTCTTCTAGCATTAATCTTGTGTCTTGTCTTGCTTCCCAGTTTCACTTCCTTAGCATACTCCATTGCAAGGACAAAGCATTGGAACCCTGTGTGAAGAATGATTTTGGGGTAAGATGTAGATTGCAACTAGCCCAGATTTGATGCTCTCATAATATCAGTCTCAGTTTTGCAGCATAGGCATTTTCCTGGCTACAAAGGATTTGGCAGGCTAATGAAACTGCTCCATGGGGAAAAATGTTTTCGTGATACTTACTTTGTATACCAGATATTACAGCAACATCTCTCACTAGAGTAACTCTATTCAAATATTTCATCGTAGGCATTTGTTACCCTTCACCAGTTATTTTCCAGGGTGCATAGAACTACAGGCAGCATTGCATTGCTAGAGAGGAAGGCATGGACAAAAGTCACTGTAAAGTCAGCAAAATCCAAGAATTAAAGAAATAATCCCAAAATAAGCTGGGTACAGCTGGATCAGGAAACTGGAGGAAAAGCCTCAAAAAGCCTGGACTATGGAAACCATTTAGGAGGTGCAATGGTGAACCCCAAATATGGTGCAATGAATCTTAAAAATAGTCACCAGTTGTGGCTGCAACTTCCTACACTGCTACCACATTCTTGGGAATAGCCATATCAGAAAGTCTGATTTTCCTTAGCTTATTCACAGAAAAATAAGGAAAAGGGGCTTCAGCTTACTCCTGACAGTCTTGCAGCCCATCTTTGAGTGTTGCCCATCATTGGAGGAGGTCTGTGTAGCATTGTCTCACATTTGACAGCTCCTTTTCCAAGCTTATTTAAGAGCTTAAGGGAACTCAAGCAAATTAACTCAAACCATTCACTAAAGAGGATTTCTGGAGATGGTAGATGGTGGAGGAGGAAGACCATGTATGTGAATTGGTCTGTGGTGCTGCATGGTGGAGGACAGGCAGAGGGAGGTCTCCTAATGTTCTTCCAAAGCTCTGGCACAGGAACTTGGGTAATTGAACATACCAGAGTAGATGCTCACCAACACAAATTACTTGAGAAGAATGTGAGGGGAGAAGACAGGTGAAAGCCACGAGTCCATAAATATGATGTGCGTCTTCTCTCATGATGAGTTATAAAGGGATGCACTACTTGGGGATTGGACTGCAGGTAACAGGCTGGGTGATAAGGGGCTTTGTGTGAAAGGATGTAAAAAGACATGAAGTGACATTTAATTCCTTACCTTTTCATAGCTCTTTTCATTATCCAAAGTGAACCTGAGAGATTCAAAACTCTGGTGGAAACTTTCTTTCACTTTGCAATTCAGGGAGTGAATTACAAAGTAAAGATAATAATACATATGATTTTTAATGCCAATTGATTAGCAACACACAGTAGCTTTTTGAATAGTTGGTCTGTAAATTCATTGTCTAAATTTGTTTTCAGAAACAATCCCCGAGGCGATTAGAAACATGGGAATAAATTTATAATTAGAATGACCTGTTTGCAAATAATTTCTTTAAATTAAAAAATGGAGTTCATTTGAAGAGAAAACAACTATCCTGTAGTGAATTATTTGCTCATATCTGCTTCTGAGGTTTCTCATCTCCTTCCATAGATTTCTAAGCCTTTATGCATGAGTCACTAGCAATATGATGAAACAAGGGATTTGCATTAAATAAAAATTTCCTCCATCTTTTAAGACACGTTTCATCGCTTCTGTGCTTCTATCTTTTCTCTCTACAGCAAATCAGAACAGAAAAAAAATGTATAGTCTACATACCTAATGACATCCTGTGCAGTTGTTTGTTCCCACCAGACATCCATATTATTCATACTGTTACTTGTGAAGCTGTTACTGATCAAGAGATTTAAAAATAATTTTTTTCATCCACAACAAGTGCAGTTTTAGGGACATATTCTGGAGAGTTTGCTTTCTATTGCAAGGTTCCTCATCAGCAGATCATTTTAAAAATTATAATGTGTGATTTTTATTCTTTGACAAAGTGTCTTTTTTTTTCATAGAAGACTGACAGTAACTCAGTCTCCAGTTATCTGTTTATGTAGTTTCTAACTGCATTACTTTCACAATGACGTGCTGTATGTGCTATGCATGGATCCAAAAATACAACAATACAATAAATTAGAGAAAGATGATGATTGATTTAAGAGACCTACTATTTTTATCGCACTCTGCTACTGGCATACCAGGAATGCAGTTTTAACATTCCACTGCTATCAATATCTTTTAGATAAGCTTTAAATAACCACTGGAAAAACACTCTGGACAGCTTTGTGAAGATAATAACAGCAATTAAATCATGATCCTTTGGGGAGAAACCCTTAGCAGACCACAGATGAAAATTCCTCCATGAGATCTCTGCAGCGGCATGTGCAGAGGCAGAGAAACCCACCACACAGGCAGGATCAATGGGGCCCCTTGTTGGGCTGCAGCTGGCATTGCACCCCAGCAGGTGTGCAGGATTTGGGCCACGTGCCTCTGTCAGATCCCTGTGCTCCTGTCTGGCTCTTGCCCTGTCCTTCTGGCAGCTGGAGGGGGCTGTTCTGCTTCTCC